AGGTTTTTGGGGGGTTTTTGAGTCAGAGTCTCACTCTGTTGCCCAGTGTGGGGTGCAGCAACCAGAGTACAGCAGCACACTCATGGTCACCACAGCCTCGACCTGCTGGGCTCAAGCGATCCTTCTACCTCAGCCTTCCAAGTAACACTTGGAACTACAAGCACGTGCCACCACACCCAGCTAAGTTTTCTTTATGTATTATAGAGATGAACAAGATCTCGCCAAGTTGTTCAGGCTGAACTCCTGGGCTCAGGCAATCCTCTCACCTCTGCCTTCCAAAGTTCTGGGATTACAGGTGTGAACCACTGTGCCTGACTAATCTGTAAATTGAAAGTAAATAAGACTAAGCACAATTGTAGATAGTTCTGTAAACTGTTTCTAGAAAGATTTGCCTTTTTGTGTATTAAATCACTCAGGCAGTGCGCAGTATGACTTAGTTTTGGTTGGTTCACTGCGAGTGAGGAATATGCATTTTGTGCTTGGTCACTTTTTAGCACATCATGTGTGTGTGTGTGTATATATATATATTTTTTTTTATTTTTTTTATTTTTTATTTTATTTTATTTTTTTTTGAGTTGGGAGTCTCACTCTGTCACCCAGGCTGGAGGGCAATGACTTGCTCCTGGCCACTGCAGCCTTGACCCACTGGGACTCAGGCGATCCTTCCGCCTCAGCCTTCCAAGTAGCTGGAACTATAGACGTGCCCCACCATGTCTGGGTGAGTTTTCTTTTATTTTTTATTTATTTTTTATTGTAGAGATGAGGTCTCACCAAGTTGCCCAGGCTGGTCTCGAACCCACGGACTCAGGCAATCCTCTTACCTCAACCTCCCAAAGTGCTGGGATTATAGGCATTAGCCACTGCGCCCAGCCTAATTTTTTTTTTTAAAGCACTTTTGTAGAGTTCATGTGCCCAGATTCTCCTTCCCCACAGTCCTTAAAAAGTACTTGACACTCATAAAATAGTAGCTGCCAGCCAAAGCAACACTGTTTTTATGGAAAGATTATTATGTTACTGAGCCAATGTTAGGACCTGGGCGGGACTTGGAATTAAGGAATCTTTTACAAGAAATACCTATAACTCCATCACTCTACTTCTAGTGTTACAGTGCTTATGCTTATATATGCGCCATAAATTGAAGGCTTGAGAATAAGGTGAACATGTTTTCCTGAGCTGGTGTCTACAGCCCTTCATACAGGAAAAGAACCAGGAAATTAAAGCCCCTCCTCTGGGTGGGAGGTGGAGACGCAGGGTGATGACCACATAGCACAGGCTTCAGTCAGGTGTTCAGCTCAGCGAGATCGGAAGAATCTTGGTGTTTCAAACTTTTTAACCTAATTTTACTATGTATATAGTACTGTTTGTCTCTAAGAAGACTCTAACGAACATTTTGATCTTTCAAGGTTCTAATTTATGGAACGGAAAATAATCCTTCAGTCTGCATTTATCTTCAGGACAGTGCTATTGAGCAACTTTTATACACAATAGAATTTCCAGAATTTCATGATTCCCCCGAAGGCTGCTATAAAGTGTCTGAATATCAGTAGTGAAAAGCTTGATTTATTCTCTGAATTTGTGGGTGAACAATGGATTTTCCCTCATTCATAACTGTGATATCTATCCTGGCTTCTCTTCAGAAGAGGAGCATCTTTTTGGGTGCTGAAATATTATTTTAGAGCCTTTTGAGATGGAAGAGGGATCTTTTCCTGTCTAAGAATGTATGCTACTTGTTACATTAATAAGATTGTATCTTGTGGGTTAGTACATGTGCACTTGAAACAGCATCCCTGGCCCCTCCACCTGCTAAATACCAACTGGTAGATCCCTCCATGCCACATAATGTTGTGGTAGCCAAAAAAGTCTGCAGATACTGGTAGATGTCCCCTGGGGGAACCACACTGCCCCCATATTAAGAGTCACTGCTTTTAGATGCTCTGTTTAGGCTTAAATAGGACACATAAATGTTAAATTATCAAGTGATTAAACATTTATGAGCAAATGAGTACTATTTGTTGAATTTTAGTATTAGTCATGCTGGAAATGCAGTTTGTGAAGTATATAGTCTTATTTGGAGAGTTTAGACTTTTTTTTTTTTTGAGTTGGCGTCTCACTCTGTCACCCAGACTGACTGGAGTGCAGTGGCCGCTCCCGGCCACTGCAGCCTCGACCTGCTGGGCTCCGGCGATCCTTTCACCTCAGCCTTCCAAGTAGCCGGAATTACAGGCTCACGCTACCACGCCCAGCTAATTTTTTGATTTATTGTAGAGATGAGGTCTCGCCTGCCCAGGCGGGTCTCGAACCCGCGGGCTCAGGCAATCCACTCACCTCAGCCTCCCAAAGGCACGAGATTACAGGCTGAGCCTCCGAGCCCGGCTTAGACATTTTTTAATTTGCAGTTTTGAGCTACTGGTTTCAACCAATTGTTAGAAAGACATAACTCCTTCAAGTGAACTTGAGGTGAACATTTTTGGGGCAATCTTAATTAAAAGCCTGTTTCTTTCCAGACTTCTAGAAACTCTATGTATTTATGGCTATAACTGAAAATGCTGGCAGGGGGCCTGCTTTGGACAGCATTAACCAAATAAGATCCCTCAGGTCCCACCCTTGCTAAATGTAGGTCTTCATTCAGAGTTGCATACTCTGAGTGCCACCAGGGCAGAGCAGGTCTGCTTCTTCTGGAATGGGTTGATTCTGAACAGACACTTTGTGCTTTGCTTATTTTTCGACTCGTGACCTATGGTTGGTGGTGTGAAGTTGTGAGTGCACTATCAGGGTTTTTTATTGTAAAAAAATACTTTCAAGACAGTTTAGAAATGGCAGGAAAGGGAGAAGGAGTGAGTGAGCAAGCAAGGAAGAGCAGAGAGGGAGAAATATTTCTATTTTGGCAGCGGAAGGGGAATAAACAACGAAACAAGGTCATAGCTGACTTCTGGACCATTCTGGACTTGTTTCTTGACACTGGTGACTCGTCTGCTAAGACCATTATCTAGCTCTTCAGTGGACGCCTCTGTTATTTTGTTCTGACTCCAAATGTGAACAAGGAACATCTGCACTCTTGGGGAATTTTGTTGAATATGTAATGCTTAAGGCTCTGTTCTCTGGAGTCATAATTCCAGCAGACTTTCTTTTGAGTTTTGCAGTCCTTTTTGTTCTTAGTAAGAGAAAATCTGCCAGGACTCCTCTAGTAACTTAATTGCTGTAGTCAGTCATCTCTTCTTTCTCGAGGTCCAGCTTTAAAATCACTTTGAGACTTAAAGAAAATTAAAATGACAAACAATTTCTCTGTAATAGAACTTCTAATTAGTTGGTTTGCTGGTTTCTGCTTTGGTTGGCGATTTCCTGAGAGACCTGTCATTTCTGTTCTTTGTTCCTACTGGTTATCTTTAAGTACTTTTGACTTGCTTAAAGTATTTTTCAGCTTTTTGAAGATTGGCTATGAACCTGAGCAGAACTGTCCTTATTTTTGACTTGTGAAGACATTTACATGTATTTAGAATTAATGCCTTTGCTGCCTTCTAACCTACAAGGTGAAATCAACAGGTTCCTGTGGGTCCCCACCCCCAGCCACACCAGGAAAATTGCCGGTTTGAAATCTGTTCCTTCTTCATCTTCTCCACTTTTACTTTTAATAGTAACTAATGCTCTAGTCTTTGGTCTTCGTCATTCACATCAGGAACCTTGATGTGGTTGCTACAGTTTTCTTGTTTGGGTTATGTGATTAAATGAGACTTCTCAAACAAACCTCTTAGGAAAACAAATATATCTTTTATTACCATACGGAAAAAGAAACAGCAGAAGTAAGAGCCTTCTCCCTTTTTCGGTCAACTTAAGCCCAGAGGTTGTCAGTCTGAGACTTGGCCTGCAAGTGGAAGTCAGGTTCACATTCACCTGTTCATGGTGTCATGAAGCTCGTTTGCTTTGAATTTCTCATAATTTTGAGACCAGAAACCTTCACTGTATTCCATATACTATGGAGACCTCTCCATCCTTTTAAATTTTCATTTTTGAATGTAAGCTGTAGTTTGCAATTTTTTTTTTTTTTGAGTTGGAGTCTCACTCTGTCACCCAGACTGGAGTGCAGTGGCATGCTTCTGACCACCGCAGCCTTGACCTGCTGGGCTCCGACGATCCTTCCACCTCAGCCTTCCAAGTAGCTGGAACTACAGGTGCGCGCTACCATGCCTGGCTAATTTTTTATTTATTGTAGGGATGAGATCTCGCCAAGTTGCCCAGGTGGGTCTTGAACCCACGGGCTTAGGCAATTCACTCACCTCAGCCTTCCAAAGCGTGGGATTACAGGCTGAGCCACTGAGCCCGGCTTGCAATTCTTTTATTTATTCATTCATTCATTTATTTATTTATTTATTTGAGTTGGAGTCTCACTCGGTCGCCCAGATTATTTATTTATTTATTTATTTATTTGAGTTGGAGTCTCACTTGGTCGCCCAGACTGGAGTGCAGTGGCTGCTCCCAGCCACCACAATCTCACCTGCTGGGCTCTGGCGATCCTTCCGCCTCAGCCTTCCAAGTAGCCGGAATTACAGGCATGCGCTACCACGCCCGGCTGATTTTTTGATTTATTGTAGAGATGAGGTCTCGCTGCCCAGGCGAGTCTCGAACCCGCGGGCTCAGGCAATCCATTCACCTCAGCCTCCCAAAGGCGCGGGATTATAGACTGAGCCACTGAGCCTGACTCGGCTTGCAATTCTTAATATTCAATTGTAAATACTATTATGCCCTACTGTTTCTCTTTGTAAAATGAACATGCAGAGCATATGGGTATTGCAAAATAATTTATAAAACACTATGGGAAAGTCACAAGGCCAGGAAACTTACTGTATGCCAAGGAGAAACATATTTCTATGAAATCAACATAGCTACATGCTAAATGGGGCTTTTTTCCTAACTGAGTAGGTGACACCAATTTTGACTGAATATTGGCAATTACGTTATCTCCTCTATAATTTACCTTTTTATTTTCTTTCCCTTACAACTTTCAGGTAGAACTTTAGACTTCATAGCACTGAATTAACCTGCACTGAAAGCTGTTTACCTGCAGTTACTCACTTTTGTTGAAAGTGACCATGTCTCAAGTTCAAGTGCAAGTTCAGAACCCATCTGCCACTCTCTCAGGGAGCCAAATACTGAACAAGAACCAGTCTCTTCTCTCCCAGCCTTTGATGGGTATTCCTCCTCCTGCTAGCTCTCTACCCTCTGAGAATGCAGGTAGACCTATCCAAATTTCTGCTTTACCCTCTGCATCTGTTACATCCACCAGTGCAGCTGCAGGTAAGCTTGTGATCCAAGTGTCTTCTGTTGCCAATGTTTTCTTAGCCTGTTTTCTGATCTGCTAAGTAGTTTACAGTTGTAGGGAGCGCTCATATTTGCCTTCAAGAAGTAAAAGAAAATATTACCACCCACGCTTCTTTATCCCAGATACAGAACACAGAATACAGGGTTGGCAGAGGCCTTAGTTGACAGATCATTGCAAGTTGTAAGAAAATTGAAAACTACTCAAATTGTCTGTTATAGAGTGGTGGCTGGCAGAAAGAATTGAACAATAAATACCACTTTGGATATTCATTGTTGTATGGGAAAATTCTGCATTTAAAACAATTTATCAGAACTGACCAAGAACTCTTATATGTACATAAGTCCCCATTTATGTCTATAAGATTTTATCCCAAACAAAGGGTAGCCAGATTTACTACAAAGCAAAAGAGTGCGTTGGCATTTATTAATTTTTATTTTGAACAAGTAAGTTTTAAGTCTGGGAGTTTCCAGAGGTAGTTTAGAAATCACAGTGAGAACCAATTAGAAACTGAATAAAGAAGCAGAGATTTTTTTTTTTTTTTAGAGGGAAATAAGTTTAGAAGCATTCAAATCTGATTATTAGGAAAGTGAACTCAAGGTTTAATTGATTAGAAAAGACTTGAAACATTTGGGGTAAAAACCTAAACACCTAAACACCTTACAGGCAAGAAACTCAGGCTAAAAAAACCCCAATCTAAACACTGTGTTCTGCTTCCCAATCCCCTCCCCTCCAAAGTGACAAGACCATTTAAATAAATGGGGTGTCAGTATGGGTATCTCCATAACAGAGTCATCTTAAAAGAGAATCTTCTCAGCCCCTTCCTTATGACTAACAGTTTCCCTTGCATTTCCTTCCTTGTCCTCTCATTTCCTTTCCTTTGTAAATTTGTTCTTAGAATGTTTGCTTCTCCCGCTTTCAGTTGCGTGGCATCTTCCATACTGTCTGCCCAATTCCTTGGACTGGTTTCACCACCATAGCACTCTTGACTTACCATAGTCTCCTAGAGATCCAGTTCTCCCCAGATTTGCTATGTAAGACTGTCTTAAAAGGAAAGGAAGGCACAGACTGTCAGTGTTCCAGGATTTGTTGCATTTCTTCTCATGTGTTCTTTTTTTTTGAGTTGGAGTCTCACTCTGTCGCCCAGACTGGAGTGCAGTGGCTGCTCCCGGCCACCGCAGCCTCCACCTGCTGGGCTCTGGCAATCCTTCCGCCTCAGCCTTCCAAGTAGCCAGAATTATAGGCGCGCGCTACCACGCCCGGCTGATTTTTTGTAGAGATGAGGTCTCGCCTGCCCAGGCGGGTCTCGAACCCACGGGCTCAGGCAATCCACTCACCTCAGCCTCCCAAAGGCGTGAGATTACAGGCTGAGCCACCGAGACCGGCTTAGGTAAATACTTTCCTTGCTGCTTGTGCGTTTAGAACTCGCCAGCAATGTTTTCTGTTTTTTTATACTCTTGAAAGTGGTGCTGTGATTCAAAATATGTACTTTCAAACTGCCAAGTTTGTCTTAAACAGATACAGAAATATAGAATTTTGAAGAGTCACTTCATTTTTCATTCTTGCCAAATGGACCAAAGAAATGGTCTGCTTCTTTTTGGAATATGTGGTTTTTAAAATTGCAAATAGTATAGATGGTTGGTTGGGATTCTGAATAGAGACTGTTCTCAAGCACCTGTGATTGATTTCCTGTAAGTTTCCAACCATGGGTCTTCTCCTGTCGGCCGCCTACTTGTGGCTCTTTTCCTGCTTGTTTGTACGTGGACCTTAAACTGGGCAAGGACAGGAGGTGATGAGAAATCAGTTTTGCCACTTGTTAGCAGTCTGGGTGAAAAGCTTAAAGATGCAAGGTAGAAATTGGTCTCCAAATGAGTGTTTTTGTATTGTCTCTGGCTTCTTTGTCATTCCCCTTATCTTAGAGAAGGAAGGACTGACCAGGACTGACCGTTGCAGTTTGAAATTTTGCTAATTGTTATTCAAGAATGCAGGCTTTGAAACTCATTTGGTATTTGTAGTAACACACATCTTGGAACTTAATTCTTGCATGTCTGGAGTTACCTTTTGTGGCTGTAGTATAACGGGATATGGAATGACAGATAAGAATTGGGCCTTCTGTTTCTTTATTTTTTTATGTTAAAGATGGGGGTACAATTCAGGATTAGATATACAAGTGGTCATCGTACAGGTAAAGTTTGGGCCTCCTTTTGGTCCCCACTTGGCCTGGTTTGAGATTAGGTACCCTTATTGCTGTTGTGTCTTCCCCCCACCCCAAGGGCCTTGTGTTTCTGATCCTAGCCTTGCAGCAATCATAATTAAAGATGAGTTATTTATCTAGTTATGCCTCATTTTTCTTCACATGCAAGACTCAAGCCTTGAATTAAATCAAGTTTCTCTTTCATTTGACTAAAAGTAACATCAATCACAAATAGGCACCAAAGCATAGCATGGTTAAGTGAATTGCCTTTAGAGTCAGACACTCTGGGTTGGAATCTCAGCTTCTTGCTGTGTGACCTTGGGCGAATTACTACGTTTTTTGAACCTCAGTTTCTTCATCTATAAAATGGGGGTAATCATATCTACTGAATAGGTCTATTGTGAGAATTAAATGAGAGAATATATGTGAAAGTATGGAGTACAGTGCCTGGGGCTTAGTAAATGCTCGAGAAATGGTAGCTGTTATTATTATTATTATTTTTTTTTGAGTTGGAGTCTCACTCTGTCGCCCAGACTGGAGTGCAGTGGCTGCTCCCGGCCACCGCAGCCTCGACCTGCTGGGCTCTGGCGATCCTTCCGCCTCAGCCTTCCAAGTAGCCGGAATTACAGGCATGCGCTCCCACGCCCGGCTGATTTTTTGATTTATTGTAGAGATGAGGTCTCACTAAGTTGCCCAGGTGGGTCTCAAACCCGTGGGCTCAGGCAATCTACTCACCTCAGCCTCCCAAGGCGCGGGATTACAGGCTCAGCTATTATTATTAAGCAATTCGGCTGGGTGTAGTGGCTCATTGCCTGCAATCCCAGCACTTTGGGAGGCAGAGGTGAGCGAATTACCTGAGCTCAGGCTCGAGAACAGCCTGAGCAACATGGCAAGATCTCATCTCTACAATAATCAAAAAATTAGCTGGGCATGGTGAGACATGCCTGTGGTTCCAGCTACTTGGAAGGCTGAGGCAGAAGGATCATCCGAGTCTAGCAGGTCAAGGCTTTGGTGGCTGAGCCTGGGTGACAGAATGAGACTTCGACTCGACGACTCAAAAAAAAGCAATTCGCGTTAAAAAAAAAAAAAAATTCTCGTTCATAAGAAGCTAGTTTAAAAATGTTATTCCAAAGCATAATTCTTTTTTTTTTTTTGAGTTGGAGTCTCACTCTGTCGCCCAGACTGGAGTGCAGTGGCTGCTCCCAGCCACCGCAGCCTCGACCTGCTGGGCTC